AAAAAAAAAAAAAAGAAAAACAAAAAGGAAAAAGAAGAAAGGATGAGGAGAATTGCATCGCACGGCAATCCTTTGAAAACGATGGCGAAGTTCCGAGTTTCCCGGCACGGAAAATTCACGGTCCGCGGAATGAAAGGAAGGGAACAGACGTCGAAAGCGAACGGCGAAAAGGGAGAATGACGCAGCTGCCGGAAGCCAGCAGGCGGGGAGAAGGCCCAAGAGGAGGCCGCAAATTAATTAAGAGCCTGTGAGTTACCGCGCGGCAAATAAGACGAGAGTTGGCAGGATGTTCGCCGTCAAAATATTTGGTACAGATTGCTGGCCTCGCGCTGGAACGCCGGCAATGACTGTGCGATGTTACTTAGCTCAGGAATGAAATTTTGTCTGGAAGTGTTTTAATATAGAGCTCGCGTGCCTTCGTAAAAATCGAGGATTTTCTTATTTCATGACCGTGCTCTCCGTCAACGAGGGATGATATATATGATTTTGCCTGGAGAGGTTGAATTTGTCATCAATATTCCTTCGTATATCGAGAGGTAACTGCTTGGACGACCAAGCTTGAAAGAAAAAAAGACCAAGGAGACAAAATGATGCGTCAAGTAATAACAACCACATATTCGTACCCTTTTAATTGTCGATTCTGAACGATCCATATTCATATTTCTATTTAGGTTTGATTTCTTTAACCTTTCAATGTTTGTTAGAAGATTCCGGCCGAGGGGGATAATTTCGTTCTAATAAAGAGTTGGAATAAAGAGTTCCGGAGATTCGCAAATGTAACGTGCACTATAATTCTCCAGACAGTCACTGTACGCTGATAAGAGCGGGATAGCAAAATTGGATAGAAAAGATCCTCTTTACCGGGTCGAGGAACATCGAAGAATCGCTCACGAATGTTTATCGTTTATCGTTCGACAGCCGTTCTGCAAATCCTGGCAGAGGGCAGAGGGGAACAATGCATCGACGTGGCATGATTGATCCTATCGCGGAGAAAACGTAACTCGTATGTACAATGCCGGAAGAACAAAGGCGTCCCACACGCGCAAGGAGAACGACAGCGAGAGGCAGAGGAGAGAAAAAGACGTCTGCGTCGATTCTCGACGGGACGGAGGATGCGAAAGCACGTTGCGAATACATGCACGATGTGTACACAAATGAAGTCGATGGTGTGCGCGAGGGCCGCGCATCTCTTCCAAGTGTCTCGGCGACGTCTGAAAGAGGAAGAGAAATAACGGGAACAAGAGACAGCAGGATAGGTTGAAGAATGTGCACTCAACGTGATTGGTGCAGCAGCGTGGCGGTGCACACTGGAGGCTGTCTGCATGAAAACTTGAGAATTTCCACTCGGGCACTCGTATGCGTACAACACGGGGGCCTCCAACGGCATGCCGCGTCTCACCACCTCTCGCCAGCTCTCGCCACCACCGCCCCATCTCCATACCTCGCTGCGTCTTCTGGAGAACGACCGAACAATGCTCTCCACTTTCTCTCTACCGGCTACCGGCTTCACGGAAAATTTCGTGGAATTCAAGCCGTTACTGCCCGATGTTGTTACCTGCGATTCGCGTGACGCGACGCCAGCCACCTGCCAGCGACATTAACTCTACATTCTATTCTCTCGAGTCCGTAATAATTTTTCAAAACGTGCACCAATAGATTTGACAACGTTACGTAATAGTATTCCGTACGCTCGATTTTAAACTGACGATTTGTCCGATCATGAACAAATGATATTTTTCATTTCGAAAGAGGATAATTTTCTCTCGAAGATTTTACGAAATCAAACAAATTTGTTTTCACCATCATCTTGAAGATTAAAGTCTCTCCAAATGTGCAGAAACTTTTCGAGATAATAAAAAAAGGAAAAATCTTTTCCACGCATGCTCGACTTTCCATTAGAAATATTTTGGAACGAAAGAAATGTTGTTCAAGTGACACGAACGACTAGGCAACGCTGTAAAATGAAAAATACTCGTTCGTTTCGCTTTTATCGTGACGTAATTAAAATTGAAATTAATTATTCTGCCTGGCGGTCGAAACATATGACTTTCGTGTTTGACGAGTCAAGGATTCGTACCGCGAAGTCTGAAGTACGCAAAAAGAGAAACGTTCAGAGATAACGATTTCCCCAGAGATGGAAAGAACTGCTTCTCCCGGAATAATCGAGGGAACTTCGGATTATGGTGGAATTAACGGACCAACTTGGCCAAACTAATTTTTCTTCTCTCTCGGTTCCCGTTGAATCCCCGCAAATTTCAAGTATCGCGGTACTTTTAATCGGTACGTTACCACACAAAATCTCTCCTCCCTCGGACACCCGACTTAAAGAACGCCGCGCTCTAATTATTCTATGAATATTCGAGGACTCGCGAATTGGCTCCGCCGGCGCTAAATAATTCAGTTAAATTCACAAATGGACAGTTAATTAATGAACAACGAATCGGTAGCAGCTTCTTCCGAG